GTTTTTTAAATAGATATTGAAGTGTTGATGTGTAATTTTTAAAATATTTTATTTGCTCTATTAATAGCACATATTAGTGATGTTTCTATTTAATGATCCAGTATTCAACAATTGCGATTTTTAGTTATATGCACTTCTATTGGAGACGTGCTTGTAATAAAGCAAGTTTAGTATATCTATTAAGATTTATATGGCGACGTGGTGCATTCTTACCCAAATATATACCAGTATATGGGCAACATTCATGAGCTACCAAAATAAAATACTTGTTTTTCACTCTGTACAAGTGCAATATAGTTTTTGAATCAAGTATAAACCGAAACTTACCTTAAATACATGGTATCTAAAGTCATTAATTTCAACACACGGGGTAGTGCTTTCGTTCATTTTATCCGACAATAAGGCTTTAAAACGTTTTGACGCAGTGACCAAGATAATTTTATGTGCGTAAAATGGTCGTCCTTCAACAATGAACGTTACATCAGACATATCCGGATTGTTCACATATTGTGGATCTAGAAAAAGTGGTAAAAAATAGTTAAATCTTAACTTTGAGGTGGGGTGAAATAACTGGTGTATATATATACCAGTAAATGAGTTAGGCTTTCCAGAATTTACAGATATGACACTGATTATGTACGACTGTTACTCACCGATTCTGGCAGGTGGCGTGAAGTTGATAGCTTTGATTTCTGGTAAAGGTTCGTACCCGTAGACAAGCGAGAACACTGCAGCTAGTTGTTGAGATATCACTTCATTCTGAAATGAGAAAATAGTTATTCACCAAAACATTGCTGGTTATATACACAATAAATGTTAGATCCATCAGTATTAGGCCATGTCTGTGGAATTGATCTGCCCTCTCAGGTCAAACTAGGAATTCTTTTGTTTTTTCTGCACATTATTGCTGAAAATTTACTGATCTACCCATTTATCTACCTATCTAGTTATTGTATTCTTGAAATCCCAAGTATATATAGAGCATAACAAGATTTTTGACAGCTTTTGAACTTTCCTACCTTGCATTGTCGGAATATATCAAACATCAAGGGCAATGCCTCATCACAGAATTCTTCATTATACTCATTGGGTTGGATGGAACAGAAATCTCTGAGAAGGCATTGAATGATAGCTTTTCTGCGTAGTTGTTTGGCAGTTGATAACGTCTCAGTCCAGCAGTGTAGAGACCACTGTACACCAAGACTACGTAGCTCCATTGAAACGTCGAGATAGCCATGCTCACAACTATGGTACATCGCCTCCTAAAGATACAAAAAACTTGTGCATGAAAGCTGGAGAGAAAATCTACCATGAAAGCTATGTTTGTAAAAATATTTCTTTTGTTTTAGCATTATATGAAAATGCTCATGGTTGTATCAAAGCAAAGAAACCTATCTAAACAGATCATACACAGGATAGTTTGTATACTGCAACTGCTGTATTTATAAGTGCATATTTACATAAATGACTGAGGTGTATCTACAGTCAATATAAATTGGTTTTTTTATGATCATCTAATGGAGAAGATACGGTCAGTTTTTTTTTATTGTTAATTTAATAGTGGTTCTGCTATGATATGGTCAATAATGTTAAATCTTTCATAATATGAAGGTGTTTGCGAACAAAATCTCGCAAAAGTAACAGACTTCCTATATTCACGACTTTGACCGTACTCATGAAATTCACAAAAATTGGCGCTCCATGAAATTAAAAACAGTTTACAGTGACAGTGTATACCACATAAAGTGAATAAAAGTCATACAACTCAATTCTGTCATTTTCCCCTGCAAATTCTTACCTGCAGTGCAGCCTCCCTAGTTTTAGTATTATCCAACTTTTTTGCCTTATAACCCGTGTCAGTCCCTTCTGCTAGGATCTCTTCCAATGACAAGAAATCAGATGATTTGGTCACGTGCGGTTGGGAAAGCAATCTTCGTAATACATTTCGATGACCATGTGAGGCAGCCAATGCAAATGAATTGAGGTAGCCAGAATTGGCATTGCTTTTATCTAATGTAAATAAGTAGGGATCGGCTCCTCTGGCAAGAAGTAACGATACTAACTCATAATGACCTATTAATAAATGAGAAGAGGATAAGAAATGTGAACAAATGCAACCAGACAAGATTCTAATGTTTATGTTAATGATAACACATTGCACAACACTAAACCTAAACAAATTGTGTTCATATAAAATATATATAAAATTAGGCGATACAAGAAAATAGGAATAACTAAAACAAAAAACAATAGTTTTCTCTATTGTAGATAAAAATGATTTGCACTGGAACATTATTGTTTTGGTTTGTAATAAAATCAGAAGAGGAAAATAATGAAGCTGAGACAAGACCTTTCAACTGAACGACTTTAGCAAAAATATAAATATAATAAAATCTATTATAATGTTCAACTTGTTTTCTATATCTTTGATTCTGAACACCCCCCCCTCACCCCCCCTCACCCCCAAGATACAGTATGATGGACAAGTTCTGATCAAAATATTTTTGGGAAAAAAACATACACATTACATGCTGTTCTGTTTTTTACATAAATGTGTTCATTCGAATATTGACTGTGCTTATTTGACCAGTGCAGTACCTTTTAATGTGCAGCACGTTTTGAGTCATACAATCTTTTTTCGCATTCCCTATTCAAGAACTAATGTAAGGAAATATTCTTCCACCCCACCCAGTCTAATCGCTTTTTAATGACATTATTAATGACTCGCCATCAATTGATATTTTTAATAGGTTTAATGTTTTTAAGAGTTAAGTAATTTTGTTGTTTTTTTTTGTTTTTTTTTATTTGTGTGTAATGTAAGATTTGTTTAACCTATTTTTGTGTATTTCTGTATTTGGGGATCCTGTAATTGGGAATTTTGTTCTGTAGGTCATCCAATTGAATAAATAAATACGTTGATTAAATATTGCATTCATATGCATGACCAAGCACCATTATGAAATGTACCAGTTAATGTGTCATAGCCACTTACCTGCTGCAGCTGCCATCTGTAAAGGCGTTTCAGCATTAAAACTATTATCAACAGCGCCATCAACGTAGGCACCTGCTTCTAGTAGTAACTGAACTACAGGTATATGTGAGTTGGCTGTGGCAAATGTCAGTGCAGTCCAATGACGGATAGCCGGATGAACACAGGGGTACATAGGGTTACTTGGCACCTACAATTAAATAGAAAGGTCTTGTATAGCACCCATGAGATTGCAATTACTGAATCCAGTCAAGACTTTGCAATCCAAAAGTTTACACTTACAGTTATGTCTAAGTCAGAATGCGCATCGATTAAAACTTGTACCATAGCTTCATCACCTCTGGCACAGGCAAACATTAATGGGGTCATGCCCTGAAAAAAAATCATTAAAATTATTTACTGTAAAACATTAATTTCAATGTGTGTTGAACTTTCCCATCATCTGAACAAATAGGTGCAAAATTATTTATTTAAATTATTCAACAATTCCAAATGTCTTTGAACAGCTAACCCTCATTATTGAGCAATGGAATCACCATTCATATAAAAACGGACTATTCCATTTTCAATACAGGTACGAGAAGCTACTCACCTGTTCATTTAATGCATTAATGCCTGCAGGTCCTAGCATTGCTATAGCTTGCTGTACAAGGTCTGTCCTTCCACATGCTAACATACGGAATGCTAAATCCAGCTGAAAACTAGCAGCACATGCGGATGCATCCAAGTGACGACTGGAACAGATTGATTCATCAGTCCTAGAAATCAAACCATACAAGTCGGTTAATATTGGCATTTTGTAAAATAACAAAACACAAGTGTAGAGAAAATTAATCATAGAATGTATTGATGCCTGCACAGCCATGAATTGACTGTGAACGAAAAACAATTCAAACAGCAGTATTACAATACAGCTCACAATAGCATTATTGATAGTTCAAATGTTACACTTGATAATGGCAAGCTGATATCAATATTGCTACTTTGTTAGCAATATGGTGAGCTATAATGGATAAAACCTATTTTCGAATCCACTAAAATTTAGAGCAGCAATATCATCACAATTGTGTACAAGTGTGAATTCTACTGCTTTGTTATTGTTGTTCCGGTTGGTGTTTACCGACATATTGCACTGTATGCTAAAATCAGTTTAAGGTTTACCTGACAGGTATATTAATTAGTTAATTAGGAAACCAAGATGACCTCCCTTGTCCACAAAACTATACATTTTCGGAAAGCTGATTATATGAATTTTAAAATTTTGTTAGTATTTTTTTGTATGGACACTGTAGTTTGAAATGTGCACAAAAATGTGCTTTTTTGGTCAAAAGTGATTAAAAAAAAAATTAGCTTCTAAACCATGCTTCTGTTTCCTGTCAAAATTGGTTTATGGGTACATCTGTTTAATATGAAGAAAGTGCCTCTTGAAAACTGTCTACCAGCT